CTGTCACAGTTTTAGTTCATCTTTAATATGTTTGTAAGAGTCTGAAGCCTTCTAGTTTTTGTGATTTCAGATTCAGTGGAGGATCTGATGGAAGACACTCATGATCTGGTGCTCCTACTCTGTATGACAATGCTGCCTCCTTTTATGGAAGTAAGACTCGCTATATACTTTACCAAGATTCTTGTTAGAGATAATATCAATTTCATAATCTTAAAGGTGATCTTAACTTGGCTTAGGGGAGTCGCAACCTATGAAGTGGGCAATGCTGGAGCTTAAGTTATTGATGCTCCTTCTCTGCCTAAACACACACATCTTTTTATTCTCTGCTAAAGAACTTTGAGTTGCAGGTACACGGTTCTCTGTTGGTCACAAATCAGCCACAGAGATGAGCAGGTAATATTTTTCAGTGAGGAGGCTGCTTGAACCTTGAAGCATCCAGTTACATTCAGTCAGGAGCTTCACGGGTGATAGATACCAGCTTAGGTTTAAATTTTGATTTGTAGGCAAGTGCAGGCAACTTTTTTCCTTTCTCTAAAGTTAGTAAACCGTTGGTTTATCAAGATGATTCTTTAGAGGTTTATATACATATTAAGAATTGGCAATTATGTTTGGTAGTATAAGACTTGATGAGTGTAAGACTTGATGAGTGTAAGACTTAAGAAGAATCTCTGTAAAATATATGTTTTATAGATTTATTAAATATAATTTGAGCTCTCATAGACTTGGATCAAACGAAGGTTAAAAATGATGAACTAATAACAAACAAGAAAAAAAAATATTCTTTTACCTCAAAATCTAAACCCTAAACATACCCTAAACAAAATAAGATTTTTTTTTCTCAAAACAAAAAATCTAAACCCTAAACATACCCTAAAAGGATAAAAATGATAATTTGAGAATAAGAAAATAATTTATATATAATATTTTAGAGGTGTATATCCTAAACTCTAAATCCCAAATTTAAAATTTGATAATAAAATAAAGTTTTGTTATATAAGATATATATGTATATATGATTCCTTAAAGGTTTATATATTTAGTGTGATATTACTATATGGAGTTTGGTGTATTTAAAACCCTAAACCACAAAAGCCCTCCTTCACATTAAAATCTAAAGATAACGAGAAAATAATATGATAAAAAGAAAACCCAACACTATTGATAAATTAAAAAACAATTACCTTATGTTGTAAACCCTAAACATACCCTAAACCCCAATAACATATCTCAAACCCTATACCTTAAATTCCATCTTATATATAAATCTTCAACTTTCAACATTTTAATCCAAAACATATATTTTTTTAACTTCAATCTTAAGCTTAAACTCGAAATTAATAATTTTAAAAATTTAATCTTAAATTTAAACCTCAAACACTAAATTTTAAATCTACACCCCTAAATCTAATACCCTAAACCCCAAACTTAAACTCTACATAAGTCATAAATCTAAATCTTTTCAAACTTATAATATAAACTTTAAACTTAAACTCCAAATCTATTCTAAAACTCAAAACCATATACATAACTCTAAATCTAAACCCAAAACACTATTTTCCAAACCCTAAACTCACTTTAATTTTATTAATCTTACATCATTACTCTTACTTAATTTACTATTCTCAAACATCTAATATCATATATACATAAATTCCCCATATTCATAATATAATTTTCAAACTCTCAATAATTTTATAGCAATTATAATTACAAAAAGACAATTTTATACTATTTTTCGTTTCAGCCATTGATTTATTCAAAATCAAAGGCCTACAATCAATCTTGTTATCTATCCTCACACTTTGTTTCTATTGGCTAACAATTAAAAAGGAAAACTATGGAATAATCAACTATCATCACTCGGATAACTCTTTAAGCCGTCGGATGCAATTAAATCAATGGTTGAAATGTTTTCTCCTTTTTTTCTTTTCTTTCTTTTCTCCTCTTGTCTCAGATCTCTTTCTTCCTACGCACATAGCATTCTCTCCTCTCTCTCTCTCTCTTACTCTCCTAACCTCACTCACAGAAATGATTCATCTCACACATTCATGTTTCTCTATCTCAGTCTCCTAATCTCTCCCCACATACAACACATCTCAATAAACACTTACTTGATTCCATTTTCTGGGCTTGATTATGGATTCCGAGTCTAACCTCTATCTCTCCCTCACTCTCTGTTTTTGAATCTAGACATGGGAAGAGGCTCGATTCTGTCAGTCTTCACCACCACAGTCACCTCTCTCTCTCTCTCTCTCTCTCTCTCTCTCTCTCTCTCTCTGTTTTGAATCTGTTTTTTTTTTGGCAGAGCTGGTGGTCGTAGCAACTGGTATGTCTCTGGTTAAGATCTGCGTTGGCTTCACCTCCTCACCACCACCACCACCACATGTCAACTCACTTCACCTTCCTCTTATCTGCTCTCTTGTTCTCTTGTCAACTTCTTATAAATTTGTGATTGCTTTTTATTTGTTTACAGATTTATTAATGGGCAGGGAACGAGAAGCAGTGGAGGCGTTTGTGAGCAGATGTGGTGGTCATGAGAGGAGGCGGAAATCTCTCTCGCTCTCCCTCTCTTCATTCTGTTTTATGTTTGAATTATGTTTTGAAAACTGGGTTGCAGAGATACGCAAAAGATGAAGAATAGCAGGAGGTGGAAGCAGAAGAATAGGTGGAAGCAGAAGAATAAAAACGATGGAGCATTTTCATAGATGGAGTGTGGTGGCGGATGAGGCAGAGCGGGGGAGGGGTGCGGAGGAGGCCGTGCGAAGGAGTTAGGGATACTTTTTTGGTTTTTTTTTAGATTTCGTTTTTAAAGTTGGTTTGTATGTAAACCGGTTTATTGTTGCGGATTAATTTGATTGAGAATTGATTATATTTTTTTTGTTTTTTGAATATTTTGATTTTGTTATAATATTAATTTGAATAAAATTTTATTTTATAATTTTCTGTATTGTTTTCAAAATAAAATATTAAATTAAATTTGTCATAAACGAAATGAAACAATTACATTTTAAAAATGCAATGAAAGATTCAAATATTGCTATTGATAGAACACTAAAATAGTAGTTAAAACATGNTATTTTATAATTTTCTGTATTGTTTTCAAAATAAAATATTAAATTAAATTTGTCATAAACGAAATGAAACAATTACATTTTAAAAATGCAATGAAAGATTCAAATATTGCTATTGATAGAACACTAAAATAGTAGTTAAAACATGCTATAGTAAAATTTTAAAACTGCTATAGTAAAAATGTTATAATAATATTTTCGATACGCTATTAAAAAGAATTACAATTGCATAATAAAAAACGCTATTACTAAATTAATATCAATAGCGGTTACAAAAACCGCTATCTAATGGACCCGACCTATTATCGCGGGCGATGTTGGAGCGCTTTCTACAACGCTATGGTATCGTACGATAGCGATTTTCGGGTGCTATTAAAACCCTTATTTCTTGTAGTGAAAGGAAGGTTGCTTGGTGGAGTTGATTAGTTTAACTGGAATTTTCTACTTGATGAACGCAGCTCATTGCTTTTCGTGAAGATAGAGGAGTGGCAACCACTGATGCATCTACCAACCCTTCTCCATCCTCACCTTCTAGCTGTTGGGAATGTCCTAAAATCATTTGTACTTACTCTTGTTAAAGTCGTAACGTCGAGATTTGAAAATCATATAAAATTAGATGGTTATAATGTTTTGCTAGAAACCACTTATAATCTATGGATTAAGAATCTATTACTAATTTTATATGATCTTATAGGGTCACACCTGAACAAATTGGATCAATAATATATTGAGTTTTTAAGTAACATAAATATATAGAACAAAACTTGCATTCACCCCCTGTGGTGAATGGGAGAATTCACCTCAATCTTTAATACCAATCAAATTGACACATAGGATTAGTTAAAAATGAATTAAAACTATTAAAACTAAAAAAAAGAGAAGGAAAATAGCTTAAATAAAAGAGAGAAGACGCACGCCGTTAAGAGAGGAATAGAACATGTCTCCATCGGTTTCTTCTTCGTCGTTACCACACACCACAGAGAAAATGTGAAAGAAGTTTTGTTTATAAAGTTTGAGTTTTCAATTCTATGTTTTTCAAATCCAAATTTGATTTTACGTTTTCAAAATCAAACCAATCCATGTTACCCCAACCTCAAGGAAGCTCTCTATTCTCCGGAAGATTGCTGTGGAAGTGACTGTTTTCAACATATGGAAACAAAGGAACAATCTTATACAAAATCAGACTAAGTCTTCTCTGTTGCAGTTTATAATTGGTCGAGAAGTTTCAAACACAAATCTTGGCCATAAGACATAGAAAGAAGCATTACAACCTTCTCATGTCTCTTTGATTAAGTTAACGTTTAGTAATTATACAGGCCAGAAAATTCATAATGGACAGAGCATTAGCCTTAGAGATTTGGTACTTTTCATCATATCCCAAAGTTTCACATAAAGCAAGAAATATTCATTCACTTACAAGAATCAAAACAAGAAGATCACATTGCAGGTATATTAAAACCTATCAGCAGATTCAAAAGCTCACATCTGTTGCTATATGTTATTTCACTTCTCTAAAGCCTTGTAAAAATACAAGACATTCATAACATCAACAGCTCGGCCTTTGCAGAGCCACGAAAGCTGATCCTTGACGATCTCTGCAACCTGGAAAAGAAAAAGAGAAGATGCAGATCAGTGTTGCTGCATATGTAAGGTAGTAGTAGTAGTAGTAGTAGAGAATTGCATAGAAATGACTCTATCACACAAACCCTTGTAGGCTCTAGACCACTCGTCACAACTAATTCACAGCTTGTGTCTTTTAGCTGGAAGGGAAGCCTGAAACCAAAAAATAAAACAAAATCAATATGGAACATTTTTTTTAAAGTAAAACAAAAAAAAAACTAATCTTCAAGATAAGGATTCTTACGCTGGGAGTGTGTGGACAGAAGTAACTCTTTTCATGAACCAAGTGTGACACTTGCCTCTGTAACCTATCATTCTCCTCCATCAAGAGCTTGTTCATTACCATACTTGCTACTCACAACTTGAAGCCGTGAAGCCTCTAAAGGATTTGATCAAAATATCTAAAAAATCCCTAAATCTGCATTAAGGAGTATTATTATTATATGAGAAGCGTGTTTGAGAAAAGCTTACATAAACAATGTGTATAACATTATATGAGAAGCTATAGAGGTAGAGCTATAATAGAACAAAAAATAAAGCACAAACCTTTGATAGGAAAAAAAAGAGAAATAGTATTCCTGCCTCGGGCCTGCAAGTATGAATCCAATACCATCTTCTTTTTCATCTCCAGCAACTCTGTTCTTGCAGACACCAGCTGATATTTCTAAGTTATAAGGCAACATGGATTGGTTTGATTTAGAAAAGGTAAAATCAAAATTGGATTTGAAAACATAGAATTGGAGACTCAAACTTGACAAACAAAACTTCTTTCATATTTTCTCTGTGGTGTGTGGTAACGACGAAGAAGAAGCCGACGGAGACACGTTCTATTCCTCCGTTAACGCGTCTTCTCTCTTTTATTTAAGCTATTTTCTTTCTTTATTTTTTTAGTTTTAATTCATTTTTAACTAATCATATGTGTCAATTTGATTGGTATTAAAGATTGAGGTGAATTCTTCCATTCACCACAGAGGGTGAATGCAAGTTTTGTTCAAATATATATACATGTGTTATATATGATATAAGTACATTATATGTATATTTATATGTTAGGCTTGTGGGAAAAGAAACTACTAATGTTTCTAAGTGGGCTTGTGTCCAATGGACTAATTACGTGAAGTTTAGTCATGTGTATTAGGTCAAAAGGTTGTCTTTATAAGACAATGATATTTTGATTATATCATAATTCACTCACGAGGTGAAACCCTAATAGCAATAAGATAAATGAGTTTGTCAAGTTTTTGAAATTTTATCTCGACGGCACTAGCATCCCGTGTCGAACCAGTTTGTGTGCGTGTAGATATCAGTAGAGGCACGACAATTGGAATGCTCTAAATCTCGACTTGGTTTATTCATCTTCCTGCTGCGAATAACCAGATATATTCGAAACCCGAAGATCTAGATTAATTTCAGTATTGACATGAGATTCTAGGCAAATAGCATTCATAAGTTGTTTTATAAATTGTCATAAACCGGTATGAATTCCTACAGTGATATTAGAGCTACATGTTTGAATACTGAAACTTAATCTATATTTAATCTGTATTTAATATAGTTAAATTAAAGTGATTTGGTTACGAACACAATCACTTGATTCACTTCTCGAATCGTTAGATCTTATAATCTGATTATTAGTGTTTTGTAATTGTTACATCTTATATATTAAAACATGAGTCATGACTTGACTTTTTTGTGATTTTTTAAAAAATGGACTATTACTAGAAAGTCATGTTATATTAACTCTCTAATAATCTTATCATTATTATATCTTATGAAAAAATATATCTATAATAATAAAGATACGCTTAACAATTTGGTTTTGGTAAATTACCCCACATCTTCCAACTTATTCACGTAAAATATGTCAATAGATATAAGTTTAGAAATATTCTATTATTTATAAGGAAATATGTCAATAATAGTTAAATGCATCCATAATATATTAACAAAAATCACAGATTCGTAATATAGAATATTTATATACCCTAACAAAATTTACATGCTATATATACTAGATAAATTTATTTCGATGTAAATTTTTAAAATTATATTGTTTAGAAAAAGAGAAATTGTTTAAAAAATCCATTTAATAAAATTCTTTATAATAATAATTTATGAAGCTATAAATTTAGTTTTTAGTAAAAAAAAAAATTCGAAGTTTATATTAGCTTTGAAAATTAAAGTATACTAATATTTAATCAAACTCTATTTATATTACTTTATCTAAAAAATGAAATACTAATCTAACAAACAATAAAATATAGAAGAAGAAACAAACACATGTTTGAAAAACATGTATAATATAGAAAATTTGAAACAATCTATTTGATTAAAACACATATTATATAGTATTATTATGTTTGAAAAACATTTACTATACATATTATAAATATGTGATTACTATAATATATACCAATTTACAAGTGAAAACAAAATGTTTATATAACTAACTATAAACGAAAACAAACATCCGCGCGGTTGTGCGGGTCAAAATCTAGTAAACGTTAAATAGATCACCCAATATGTTAAATGTATATATTCATTTTGTCTTCGTTTTCTGATTACAGTAACTAGAGTGTTTCTCCGGGCTACGCCCGGATAATTTACTTAATTTTTATTAGAAGATGAATAGTATCCTAATGAAATCAAAAATAAAGAATCAATCCTATGTTTTTGAGAGAATTATGTTTTATCTCATTTCGGAATTATTTATGTTTTTTAGAAAACTACTCATTTTTTTATATTTAACATTTTAGGATTATGCACATATATTAAAAAATATGTAATTTTCATCCGTTTCTAAACAAAAACATTATTAATTACTTATCTAACTATAATTCAACGAATAATAAAATATAAACTATTATATAATTAAAATTTAACATCAATTAGTATTAAATTTTACATAGAAAATTGAAAACGTAAAATAATTTGGAACCAAAAATTCTTTCTAAAACTTCAATTATAAAAAATGGAGGGATTATTATTTATGTTTACCTTTATTATTTGAATATTTTCACAAATACGTAAAGTATGAAGTTTCAATTAAAATACCCTTGGAGATTAGTCTGAACTTCTCCATGGACCTGAGATACCTCTAGGTTAATCAAAATAAAAGTTTCAATTAAAGTACAAAATACTATTCTATCCTTACTTTATAGTTATATAAATATAAATAAATATTTTGATAAATAATTAATAATTTTATAGTTTCTGAATTATACATTTTTTAATTCGGAATCTTTCTAAAAAATTTTGCTTTTTCCAAAATTTTCTGTTGTAATTCAAAAAATATTTTAAAACTATTTTTAAAATTTTATTTATTTTAAAAAACTGTAAACTATACACTCCAAAATCTCACTCCTAAAATATAAACCCTAAGTCTTTATTAGTTAACTCTAAGGATATATATGTCTATTTACTTCTTTAAAACTAAAGGTAAATGTGATTAAAATAAACATGAAAAGTGATATTAAAAGTGTGATAGTTTAAGCAATTTCTCATTTTTTGAATACCTAAGATATGATATTTTTCCACTAATTATTGTTTTAACAGTAATATATAATCTTTTAGGATTAGTTATCAACTATTTGAAAAATTGATTGTCAATAATACAAATAAATAGCAAAGCTCAAAGTAGGGTGAGTATTTTACCTGATATCCGAACCTATACCTGAATCTGACCCAAATAACCCAAACAGAAATTGAAATTGAAATAATAAAATACCAGAACGGATATTGAATTAGGAGATATTGGATATCCAAACCTGAATGGATATCCGAAGATTACCAAACATATATATATATATATATATATATATATATATATATACTTGACATATTATTTCTAATTTATTTCTCACATTTTGTTTAAAATATTTATATCAATGATACACATAGTTTATATCAGATAACATACATATAGTTACAAACAAAATGATTTATTACTCAAAATCAAAATTTTCAAACCCGGCCAAAATAACCAAATCCAAATTAAAATTATCCGAACCCGACCCGAATTATAGAAATACTCGAACGAATTCAATACCCCTATACCGGAATATTCAAAAATCCAAAATTTCTGATCCGAACCAAAACGTTTTCCCTATCTAGAAGTCTTTATAAAACTATTTGCTAAAAGTCTTAGTTATAAGAGTCTATATATATTTTGCAAAGGTTTATAAAAAAAAATTATTAGAATTTTTATAATTTTATAAACCAATTTAAAATGTATGTTGAACCTGTTTACAGTTATATAAATGTACATTTTTAATAAATTATAGATCATATAAAATACACAGATAAATAATAGTCCTTTTATATTGACGTTATGATGGCGGAACTATTGCTAGCTTGTAATAAGGGAGACTCTTAAGTAACCATAGAGAACTTTATGAAATGATTTAAATACACAGAGAAATAATAGTCTATTGATAGCATTCATTCATTAGATAATACGAAGTTGTAACATTAAGAAATACCAAATAAGTCATCAGCTTGCAAATATGTAATGTAAAGTCATACTTAAATATATACAAAAAAACCTTAGCAAAATCTCAGAATTAAATGAAAAGATAAGTTACACTCCTACGCATGAGTGCATTCTACAAATCGTGGTTAATGTTTTAAAAAAAATATAGTGGTTAATGCTCTTTTTTGTAACAGATAGTGGTTAATCCTTCAATCTTCTGATAGTTCTACCATTTGAGGAAGTGTTTCTGAAACATGCAAATCTTGCATCTCGTACCTGAAAGAAACATACATTTATCTCATCAAATACCGCAGTTCTATGTTAATATACCTGTCACTATGTGTTCGTACTGTGATAACTGATATGCTAGAAAGCGATATGCTCGAAAAATCCTTTGAGAACACTAACACACAAAATATTCCCATCTCATGTAAGTAAAAGAAGCACAAAACATTTTTTGTAGAAGAGAGAAAGCTTACCAAAGTTCTCGTGACTTGCGCTGCACAAAGACTCTGCAGTACCCATCCTCAGGCTTATCATCATGAACAGTGTTAGCGATTATACTTGGAAGAAACCTTCACGCCTTCTGCAGCAGTAGGCAGTGATGGTATGTAATCTCTCAGCTCCATGTCCTTCACCGGAAAGTTGGCTGTGACATGGACAAAAATTGAGTCACATTAACCTGTGAATAGAGATCTTTAAAAAACATTAAAGTCATCAAAATAAAAAAATAGTCACTCAAGGTAGGATTCTTCTCCTAGAAGAAGTTATTCTTCTTGAACCGAACCATATGGAACATCAAGTAAGGAGGAGATTTGGTTACTCAATCCTTATGGCTAGCTTAGGGCAAACCACGTATGTCACAGTTTCTCCATCAAACTTCTTAAGTATATCAAATAGAGCAACCTGATCCAAATATCAAAGAAATTTAGCTTTTTCTTACCTCAGTTTACTAACTAAAACCCCAAAAGGACTCAAGAGAACTCTCCTAACTCATAAAGTGGATTCCAAAAAGACGGTCTACCCTATACTAAACATCACTCAGTAGTGGGGTGTCTCACCAAAAATGTATTAATCTGGTAAGTTTTCTAATAACACCACACATGTTATTCATCATGAACATTTCTGGAATGCTTATTGTAAAAGGAACAGCAGCAGAAAATTTAAATAGGTAAACTTAAAAGACTAAAGCAAGAGATGTATGTACACCGGCGGAATAATGTTTTTCTCCATGACATCTTTGAATAGAGGAGGTGGTGGCATGATTAGCAGATGTCATGAAAATTGCATCTTTTGTAAGAAATCATATCAAACTACATTATGTTGAAATGTGAAAGGACATACACATACCTGGAAGCACTGATGGATGATACTGTTGGTGTCCTTTGAAGTTCTAAGATCCATGTTCAAAGTGTTGGTTCTTAATCTGTATTTTCCTAATGTCGCTTTGTTAAGAACTAAATGTATTTGGCTTGGAAA